CCCCACCTGGCTGCACCCTCCTGTCAGGGAGCTGTGGAGGGTGAGAAGGTCCCCCCTGAGCCTCCTTTTCTCCAGGCTGAGCCCTCCAAACCTCCCTCAGCTGCTCCTTACCAGATCTGCGCTCCATTATCCTTCTCTGGACCCACTCCAGCACCTCAAAATCTTTTCTGCAGTGAAAACTGAACACAGGATTTGAGATGTTTTTTCTTGAAGGACATGTGCCACCATGAGCCCCCTGGCTTCTGCTTGCCCCAATTCCCACCTCAGAGCTCAGCTGGAAGAGCATCCCTGGCACAGAGGAAGAAGCAGCTTTAGGGTTTCTTTTGGGATATGCCCCAGCAGAGCATTTCCACGSAGAGCAGAGCTGTGTGCAGGGAGTGCAGGGGGGGACGGGGATTATCCCCCTGTTATTTTTAAGCACTAGGCTAAGAGGATCTCTGCGATGATACAGGAAGCCCTGGGTTAGTTAGCATCACGTGCCCGTGACTTTCTTGGGGTGAAAGCCAAGGAAACACCGGTGTCCTGCTGCTCCCCATCCAGCCCTGGCACACAGTGRGAGCTGCAGGATTCCCTGTGGGTCTGACCCTTTCCGTGCCCCACAGCCCCTGCCCTGCACGTGGGCACCATCCCTGCAAGGCTCTGGGTGACACCTCATCCTGTTTCACAAATTGTCTCCAGAAAGGACCACAACAAGGCTGGAGAATGACGATTTGGGATAAATCGAGCAACAGGTTGGCAGATGGATTCTGCTGGGGGAGACTGATGTTGGGGAGCAGTCCCTGATCTTCTGCCCGGCTCCCAAAGAACCTCTGCAGCCCTGACATGGGGTAAAGGTGCAGTTTTCCTCCTGCTCAGGGGGGTACAGAGCTTTGCTCAGCTCCATTTCCCCCAGCCTTGCCCTTTGCATGCCAGCTGGGGGGGAAAAAAAACCAAAAACCGCTTGAATTCTCCATTTTCACATGGTTTTGTACCAGATACGTTGTGCTGGGTGCCTCCTGCCTCTCCCCGCAGGCAAAGATTATCAGGAGGCAGCTACAGCACCAAAATGATCTTTGAGCAAGTGGCCACGTTTCAGCCAGCTTTTGGATTTTCCCCATGGGACACCCAGACACCCCATGGGACATCCAGACACAGCTGATGGCTGCAGGGAGTAGCAGGGTGGTCTCCTATCCTCACCCACCCCAGGCAAACACCCCTCGGGGATCATCCCGCCTGGAGCAGGTGAGAAATACCATCACAGCTTCTTTCCACGCAAGTTTTTCTCTGGTATCTGCCCCCAACAGGAGCACGGGGAGTGTGGAAGTGGCAGCACAGAGCTGAATCAGCCCGTGGGAGCTTCCACAGCCCGAAAAACATCCCCACCACAGTCCAGGGGGACTATCCTCGGTGCTGAGCACCCCCGGGTTCTGTGCAGCCCCCGGTGCCACCGGACTCACCCCCGGCCACCCCGGGAGCAGAGGGCTGCGGGCGTTGTCCCCGTGTCACCTGCCAGTTCCCTCCCAAAAGCCACATCCGATCCCGCAGCCGCGCGTGTGCCCGAGCGCCCTGTGACCCGYGCTCAGCGATCCTCAGGTTTCCCCCCGCGCAGGTAACGCCGTGAGGTTTCCTGCTACACCTGGGCKTTTAAAACAAGCCCCGGCTGCTGCTGGAAAACCTCCCCGGGGGTTTCATGGTGGGARAGAAGGATCCACCATCGCTGCATCCCATGGGAACCCTGTTGAGCCTGCGGATCCAGGCGGCGAGAGCCATCCCAAGGGGGTTTCACCGGGGTGCAGTGGGTTCCTGGACCACACCGGTGCCTCCGTGGGGAATTCGAAGCCACAGCTGGGGTCTGTCCCCCAGGAAAGACAGGATCCTGCTCCCCCTCTAGCCGCGGTGAAGTTAAACCCAGCGAGAGGCAGCGAACGTTCCCAAGGATGCTCAGAATCCTTTAGGGATGCAGAAAAGCAGGTAGCCAAAAGCCCAGCCCGCACTTGCCCCTGGCTTGGAGGCACTCAGCAGCTTTTAAAGATCCTTTCCAGCTCCATCCCAGCGGAGCCGAGCCCGGGAAGGGGCTGGGGCTGTCCGGGGGCTCCGCGAGTACCGGGGGTCGGGGAACCGCCGCGCCGAAGGATTTACCTGGCGTAGCGCGTCTTCTGGAAATCCAGCAGCCGGGACACGAACATCGCGGCGGTGCCATGGGGGTCCCGGGGGGCGGCGGCTGCTCAGCCCCGGCCCGGGGGGAAAGTGCCGCCCGGGGGAACGGCAGCAACTCGGCGAGCTCCGGCGGGCGAGGAGGAGAAGGGGCGGCCGGTCCAGCCCAGCCCAGCCCAGCCCAGCCCGGCCCGGCCCCGGCCCCCTCCCGCCCCCTCGGCTGCTCGGGAGAAGCGACACCGGGAAAACAAAGGCGACCTCCGGGAGGGGGGAGCCAGCCCCGCTGCCGCCCTCGGATGTGCAGCGAGGAGGAGGAGGAGGAGGAGGAAAAAAGGAAAAGGGGGGGTGGGAGGGGGGGGAATCCCTTCCAACTCTTCCCGGCCACAGCAACCTGCGCGATCTCCCTCCGCCCCCCGGCAGCTTTAAGCACAGCTAAAAATATCCCCCACCCTCCCCGCTGCCACCCCCGGGGGATCAAATAGCAGCAGATTTGAATTGAAAATGTGATTAAAGCATCGGGGGGGTGGGAGAGGGGGGAGCGGCGAGTGCCAGCAGACGGCCCGTCCCCCCGGTACCCACCGGCTCCCCACGGCCCCGCTGCCCACGGCCGGGTCCYCCCGAGGGTCCCCGAGGCATCTCTGCCCGCCCCGGAGCAGCGCCATCCCCAAGGAGCTGGTTTGTTTGGCTTCGCTTTTATTTATTTGGTTTTAATGATTTTTTTTTTTCCCCCATTATTTTCCAGAGGCCCCAGCAGGGGTGGGTGGCTGTGCCTCAKCCCCTTCGCTGCGTGGTGCCCCTGGGTGGGGACACAAGTCCAGCAATGCCACCATCCCTCCCTGCTCGGGAYAAGAGGGACACAGCGGCACCACAGCGAGAAAAGGACTAAGGACCCCAAAATCCTCAAYGCAGCTCAACCCTAAAGCCTTAATCCCTCCCTCCTCTACATCACCCGAGGGGAATCCTACAGGAGGTGTCATCCTGAGKTCGGGCAGCTCAAAGAGGGGACACAAAAGGTGATGGGGGCTGGTCTGGGGACAGATGGGTGCCACCCTCGCTGTSCCAGAGACTGCAGGCACCCTCAGGCCAGCAGCCAAGGGACAAGAAAGGTGACATCAGCAGCAGCTGGAGGAGCAGCCTTGGTCACCCCAACACAGCCTGTCCTTGCTGAAGCCGTGGTCAGGCTGAGGACATCTTGCCAAGAAGGTTGTGCTCATATGGTCATTTCCATGGGAAATCAAGATCTTCCAAARGCCAAAGCAGATAAAAATTAAGGAATCCCTTAATTCAAGGCTTGAMTTAATCCTGGCACCCTCTGTAACCCCTTCCAAAAGCAGCTCATCCCCTCAGGGGATGTGAAAGGGGCGATGCTGCAGGTGCAGCTAAGTTGTGGGGTGTCCCCAAGGCACACACCCCAGGAGCCAGCAGCAGGTCCAGCCTTCCTGCACAATTCCCATTGTGGTTGGAAGGCACCAGTGGGGACCAGGCTGGTGACAGGAGGATCCAGGAGGTGCGGGGGCAACAAAATAAACCCCATCTCCAGTAGGATATGTGGGACAGCCAAACCCTGGCTGAGAGTGGCAGGTCCAAGCCGAGATGCWGAGTGAGATCATCTCCGAAAACCTCTCCCACGCTCTGCCACTTAGCCGGGAAGATTTTTTCCAAATTCCTTCCCCACATGACGAGTTTTGGCAGGGGCTATGTCGYGATTCCTGTGCCCTGCTGTACCTGTTCTCTGGGCCTGRASAGGAAAAAAGAMAATAAATCACATTTAACAAAATAACCCCCACGCCCAAAGCCCCCAGCCCACAGCTGAGRCTGCTGGCAAGGGACACCTGAAGCAAACCATCCATCCCAAAATAGACCCGTCTCAGAGGGCAAAAGGCAAATTGAATGAAAAATAAGTTACTATTTTTGAAGCCTGAATCCAGTTGTTATGGCAACCAAAGCCTCGAGCATCGTGCTGGGGAATGGCTCCAGCCCCGGCAATGCCTCCAAACCTGGCAGACAGAGAATCKCAGGATTGAGCAGCCAGGGGCTGCTCCCAGGTGGGATATGGGAATGTCCACGCTCACAGCACCTGTACCCCGCTGGRATCTGAGCCCTCCCTGCACTGCAGCTCCCCTCGAGTGCTCTGCCCACCAGCCCAGCTTGTTTTTCTCTCCTCTCCCCTCCCTGGTGCACTCCCCACCTCGCAAAGATCTGAGCATTTGTAAAGGCGTTAAGGAGAAATTCTAATTTTTTGGGGTGCCCTGAATGCAGTGGGGTTTTTTTAATGTCACCAAATCAAGGGGGGCTTGCAGAGTTTTCCTTTAGAGGAGGAATGGCTCATGAAGCCTGGRGATGTTTTCTTCCTTCCTTCTGATCTCACTGGTGACCAGAGACAGGACCTGAGGGAACGGCTGGAGCTGTGTCAGGAGAAGTTCAGTTTGGATATTGAGAAAAAGTTCTTCCCCCAGAGGGTKCTGGGGCACTGWCCAGGCTCCCCAGGGAATGAGCACAGCCCCAAGGCTGTCACAGCTCCAGGAGAGTTTGGAAAAYGCTGTCAGTCACAGGGGGGCATTGTTGGTGCAAGAGAGGAGTTGRACTCTGTGATCCTTGTGTGTYTGTTMCATCTCAGGATATTCTGTGATTCTCTGCAGGAATCCCACAGCTGGAGACTCCTCTGTGCAGTGTCCCCAGTGATGGGTCCCAGGCGGATCCCAGCAGTGAACAGTGTGAATATCCACACCTTTGGCTCTAACAATGGGCTCTCCTGTCACCCCATTTCCCCAGGAAGGGACGCTTTCCTGCACATGGAACTGACAAAGCCAGCAGGTAAGAAAAGAGACAATTTGGGATTAAAATCTGCCATCAGCAGGGAAAGTCTCCCCGGGAGAAAAGAAGATTTGATTGGGTAGGAAGAGTACAGGACAAAGAGATGGGTGGACAGCAGGTGTAGTGGAGGCAGAGGTGAATGTGGGGGGCAGTGTGGGGGACAGGACTGGCTCTGGTGGCCATCACTCATGATCCCTCCGGAGCCAGATGATCCCAGAAGCACAAATCCAACACCTTGTGGTTCATTTTTGCGAGATTTACYATTTTCTACACTAATCCATTGATTCTGATCCTGTTTCCAGACAGTTCCTTGTTCAGTTCCCTTTTATTTTTTTGCCTGTAATTTGTGTTATCTCCTGAAAGTTTGTTCCCTGGGTCAGRACTCCCCTTGCTCTGAAATTCACAGAATGGGTCAGGTTGGAAGGGACCACAGTGGGGCATCTGGTCCAAATTTCCTGTTCAAGCAGGGTCATCCAGGAGCACAGGGCACAAGATTGTGTCCAGAGGGTCTGGAATATCTGCAGTGAGGAAGACTCCACAACCTCTCTGGGGAATCTGTTTCCCCAAGCTGGGGACCCTCACTGGACCCCTCAAATGGCCAAGATAATTGAGAGCTCCCAGAAAGAGACTGTGCCAGGAGCAGTCACTAATTCACAGAATGTGAAASGGTTGGAATGGACCTTAAAGATCATCTACTCCCAATCCTGTGCCACGGCAGGGACAACGCCCACTAGACCAGGATGTTCAACCCAGCCTGGGTGTGGACATTGCCAGGGTTGGGGYATCTGCAGCCTGTTCCAGTCCTCACCACCATCACAGGAAAGAATTCCTTCTGCGTATCTATTTTCCTTTTCTGTTTGAACCCACTACTCCTTGTCCTATTCCAACAAATCCTGACCAAGAGCTCCTTCAGATACTGATGGTTGAACAACCTAAGTTCCTAAGTCTCCACGCAATTTTCTCTTCCCCAGGCTGTGCAGCCACAACTTTTTTTTTCCTTTTTCCCCCAAGTCCAGACCCCCGCACGCTCATTTGCTGAACCTCGGAGACATCCCGTGGCACGAAGCGGAACTGCAGAGCTACGGGCGGGCGCGAACAGCGCGGGGCGTGACCGTGTGGCCACCGTGACAACAAACGCGGTGGCCGCGCTCAGCGTGGGGACACTCCGAGCCGGGGACTACCGGCTRCGCTGCGAGTCTCCCATCCACGGCCGGCCGCGAGGGATCCTGCTTAGCTTCAAAACGCGTCCCTCCCGGCGCTGYGCGCAGGCGCGGTGTCCGTACGGCGGCCGGGAGGAGGCGGCAGCGCGCAGGCGCGGGGGCCGCTCCGCCGCCCGCCGCGTAAACAAGGGCCCGGCGGGGATGCGGCGGGGCCGGGGCGGCCGCGGCTGAGGGGCAAAGCCTTTCCGAGGTSATTCCTCGTCCTCCCCCCGCCGGACGGGGGTGGCGAGGTCCGTCCCGCCATGAACTTGGCCGGTCAGAGCGGCGACGCCGGCAGCGGCCATCTGCTCTTCGCCAACTTCAACCAGGACAACACGTAAGGGCGGGGGGGGATTGGCGGGGCGGGCTGAGGGGGCTCGGCCGGGGAAGGCGGGGGTCTGAGGGGACAGCGGCCTGAGGGGCTCCGGGGAGGCCTGGMCGCGGGGGGGAAGGCGTGGTGGGGTCTCCCCGGTGCCGCCCCTTCCCGTGGCGGGGAGCGCTGCTGGAGCCGCCCCTTCCCGGGGCCTCGGGGCTGGAGCGGGGCCGTGGTCCCTCCGCGGGGAGGAGGAGTGGGAACAACCCCCCTGTGCCCTCCGGCTGCAGTGTGGAGCCGCGGGGACAGGCCTTTCCTCCCGTGGGGACGGGGTTCTGGCGGCGTGTTGCCTTCTGCCTGCCCCCGAGTCGCTGCCCCGGGGAGCTTCTGCTCCTSGGAAGTGTCGCTCGCTGTTCCTTTGGGACAGGGATGGAAGGAGGGCTCCTGCTGCTCCTTGATGATGTCCAGCCTTAGGAGGGCCTGACATGAAGCCCCAGGTCTTCCAGGATGTGCAAAGACTTCATCCAAAAGTTCCTCACAGCTGTCTTTTTGTACAGCTATTTTATTCTCACCTGCTGTGCTGAAACAGTGAAACTTAGGCTTGAAGGTATTTTTATAGGCCCGTGCTACTTTTGGTTTTGATTTTGAAGAGGCCTTTCGCTGATCCTTGAAGCTACACTTACTTGGGCTTCAGATGGTCCAAACTGCACGTTTCACAAATTACTTAATCATTGCAGCGTATTTAAATCAATTAGTGCATATTAGTTTGTATATGAGGTATTATAAAGAAGTATTTTAAATTTAAGAACCCCCTATTAGCTGGGATTGGAGCACTGATGATYGTTTAAAGAAGGATTTGACTGTCTTAAATACCTGAGAGATGAAACTGGGGAGTAAGAACCGAAAGAACTTGTACTCAAGAAAAGAGTTTTGTTTTAGGAAGTRAGTAAGAGGAAATGATCTCAGGTCGGCATCACAGAGTGTAACCCACGTGTGTGTGGTGGAGGATTTTTTTTTTTTTAAACAACTTGTTCTTTTTACAAGCAACAATGTCTTGCCCTCACGAGGGAGATCTGTGCCTGTCCTCAGCACGTCCTGTAGCATATGGGAGTTGTGAAGGTGAGAAGGTTATTTCTGGTGACTGCCAAGCTTGAGCAGAGTTACATCACCGCAGGAGAGACTCTGTTTGCTTTTGTAGGTTTTGTTGGGGGTGAAGAGATGAGGAGTTGGAGCTGGATAGATTTGAGACATGAGACTCTGGCAGTGAATAAGTTATGGTAAATGATGGAGGGGAGCAGTAGTGCTCTGTGTATTTGTAAGTAAATCATTATCCGTGTATTGATTCAAGCCAGAGACTTTTGCAACTGCTTTTCACATTTTTTCAGTGAGTGCCATATAGAGCTCACTCTGTCTCTGTCCATATAAAACATCCCCAGGTCTTGCTCAGCTACTGTTCATTTTTTACCTATTAATGGTAAAAACCAAGCCATAATAACTAGGATATTTGTCACCTCTTTCTTCTGCAGTTTGTAAAAGTCATAAAAGTTTTTGAAGTTCAGCTCTCTTCTCCAGTGTGACACCTCTGCATTTTCAGTTGCACCTTAGCTTTGTGGAGAGCTTTATGTGCATAAAGGTTACTGAGTTTTACCCAAAAAAAACCCCACTTATTTTGAGCAACAGAGTTGCAGGTTATCTTGAGAGCAAAACCAAGACAGAAATAAGAACAAAGCAAATATAACATAAACTTACCTAGGTGTTTTTTGGCTTGTACACCTTGAAATCTTTCTTCAAGGAGAGTAAAGGTGATTCCTTTATAATTTTGAGTTTATAGGGAGAAAAAAGGGWCACCTGCCTATTGATTTCTTTCCTCAGTTGTGTGTGCTACTGCACTGCTTCTCC